TTTGCCGGTTCGGATCCCAGGTGCAGACATGGCACCGCTTGGCACACCATGCTGTGGCAGGCATCCCACATATAAAGTAGAGGAAGATGGGCATGGATGTTAGCTCAGGGACAGTCTTCCTCAGCAAAAAGAGGATTGGCAGCAGTTAGCTGAGGGCTAATCTTCATAAAAAAAAATAAAAAATAAATAAAAAGATCAGTGTGGTTTACAGACAAGGTTAGAGGTGAACCTCTAGTTCCCAGGGTCTGGAGTGTTCCATGACCTTTGCCACTGGTACTGTTAGTGCCTAAACATCTCCATTTTCCATGTGCTCCTGTCAATCTGGGAGAGCAGAACAGATGCAGAGTAGCTGGTAAAGGAGGCCGGCAGCCTCATTTGGGCAGCTATAAAGGCTGGTCCTGTCACCTGACCAAGTGAGTCCAGAGTTTGGATCCACCCATATATAGTTCATGGTATTGGGCAGCTTAACCACATGGGCAGCTGCAATACGCCACGTTGGATAACGGTGGCTTGTAAGCCATCCAGAACATGTGGTGATTTGGCAAATGTTTGTGCCAAAGGGAGTAGTGTTGGAGTCACTTACAGTTTCCTTGAGAGGTTTAAAGATGCCACCTATGGAATCAAACCACAGAGTCTGATTGCAATATTGTCCTGCTGTGTCATCTGGGAAAGGTCCAGTGTCATGTTTACTTTCAATGCAAAGGAAACAATTTTCACCTATTGTCTTTATCTGGGAAAGGGATAGTGCTAGAGCTTCTCTAGAGGTTTTCTGGGGCCCGCATGACTCACCAGGAGAAGAGGCAGAGTGATGTCTTCCTTGTTGTGGACACCATACCCTGTCGTTCATCTATCTTCCATGCTTAGTCCACCAGGTGTTCACATCAGCAGTAACAGAGACCAGTTCAGGTTCTTCTGTGCTCTCTGGCTGTTGACATAAACAACAGTCAGATTGATTAGTTAGTGTGGCCAGGGTTTGGTAAACTTGCTTAAGGAGGTGTTTGGTCTGTGCTCAACCTGGTGAGGAGGAGAGGGTTAGTGAGAGGAAGACACAGCTTGGAAAAGAGCCCTTAGTGGAAGCTTAGAGAGGGGGAGTGGACAGATAGAGACTACTGTTCTCCAGCCAGCTTTCTAGTAAATGATTAAAAAGAATATATATGTTCATTAATGGGAAAAGAGTTGTGTGTGTGTGTCTGTGTGTATAGAAGTTTTAAAAGCAAGGGGGGAAAATAAGTGAAAGTGAGGTTTCTTGATCCATGATCTTGGCAAAAGCTGTTTACTCCATGAGGCCAGCTGCTCCTGGGGCCTGGGAATTGGCCCTGGAAATCTTTAGTCTAAGGTCACCTGTGGGGACTTCTCCCAGTTGTCTTGAGAGTGATGTTTTGGGTCTGTTTTGGCATGGCTTGCATGGATCCAAGAAGATTTTTCCTATATTTTGATGGCAGGGTAGGTAGTCAGTAGGACTTCATAAGGTCCTTCCCAGTGAGGCGACAGTGCATTTTTTGTTCTAAAGACCTTGATGTACACCTGATCTCCTGGTCCAAAGGCCGACAGGTCTTGTCGGCAGGTGGGGGCCACGCCTCTTTTACGTGTTGATGATATGCTTCAAGTAGACTAGTTAATTTGTGTCTATAGCTTGTCATAGCACCAAAATGTTCGCTTAAGTTCCCATAATATTCTCTTAATCCAGGCATGGAAGGCTTAGATGTCCCAGTAGGCATGGACATCTAAAAACTATTTCAAAAGGAGTCAACCCGTGTCTCCTATTTAGAATATTCTGGATCTTTATAAAGGCATGGGCAGAGCTTATGGCCATTTAAGTTGAGTTTTGCGGCAGACCTTTCCTAAGTCCTTTTCATGTCTAGATTTTTATGTTCCACTTGCCCCGATGATTGATGATTGAGGGTGATATGGGGAATGAAATTTTATTGCATAGCCCAGAGTTTCTTCAAGCACGTGGTTACCTCTGCTGCACAGTGAGCTCCTCGCTCTGCTTCAATCAGGAAAGGAAGCCGGAACAAGGAACGGCTGCAGTTGTTAATTTCTGTCCCACTGTTTGGCCTCTGCACGTCTAGTTGGATAGCACTCAGTGCCTCCACTAACCATGCAGACGATGACAAAACAGTGAGGACAGCCTAAAGCTGAGGCGAGGCTGTAAAGTCCATTTGGAGTGCCACACAAGGCAGTGTGGGCCCGGGAGGGCTTCCTGGTGCACACTGGTGTCTCCAGAAACTTGGTGAGGTTGGCAAGTGGTGCACTGGGAAATAATTGGGTCAGAAATTGTGTGGATGCCAGGGAATACCAATTTTCTTTTACTTCCTTGACTGCCCCCCATCTACACATGTGTCCCATTTGGAGGGAGATAAGTTCCAGCCAAAAAGTCAAAGAAAAGGAGCTACAGGAAGTCCCTTTGGCCCAGTATCTAACCCATCTGATCCTTGTTTGGTGCAATGTTGTATCCAACTGTCTTTTTCAGATTGTGGGGCATTTGCCTGATAGTTAATAATGTGAGTCAGGGATAAAGGCAGGTTTGAAAATTGGGTGGAGAAAGGACAAGGGGTCCATGGTGAGCTGCACATTTAGCAGCTCTGTCAGCCTGTTGTTTCCTGAAGATTTGACATGAGCCTCCTGAGTGTGGGCTGAACACGGAACAATGGCACTTTGCGAAGGGAGGTGAACAGCTTGTAATAGGGCAGCAATCGAGTGTCTGTTAGCAATGGGAGTTCCTCCAGAAGTTAAGACTCCAGGTGATTTCCAAACTGTGCCCACAGCATGGCAGACTCCAAAAGCACATGTGAAATCCATGTGAAGAGTGGCAGTTTTCCCTTTTGTTCACGTGCAGGTTCTAATGAGAGCTATGATCCAGCAGCTTGGGTGATTTTACAGTCAGCAAAGAACAAGCTTCGAGCATTTCATGTGGGGAAACCCTGGCATAACTAGTTATTATGTTTCCCCAGAAACTCCATGTATAGGAGCCATCACAAAACAGAAGTAAGTCTGGGATTTCTAAAGGGATGTCTGAGAGATCCTCTCATGGCTTTGAGACCATTTCTATGTTGCAGGGCAATCATGTGGGATGGAGTGGGGCTCTCCATCATCAGGGAGGGGTAATAAGGTAGCTGGATTCACAGTGTTACAAGGATATAAGATGATGGTAGGGTTAGTTAAGAGCACACTTACAGGTGGTGTGTGGACGTGTAGAGAGGTGTTGTGTCCTGCAAACTTGTAAAACAGCAGACACACCCTGGGGAACATAGAGATGACTGGGAGTGCCTAATGTTAGAGTACTGGCTTAGGGTGGCAGCTGTAGCCACTGCACATAAGCAGAGGGCATACCCAATGCCACAGGGTCTAGCTGGCATGAGAAATATGCTGTAGGACATGTCTGAGAGGCAAAGACTGTCCTAGAATGGGGGCAGCAGTTCAGTTATTTTCATGGCAGTATAGATGAAAAGGTTTGTCAAAGTTCGATAAGCCAAGAGCCAGGGGTGTGGACAAAAGTAATTTTAAGGCTTCACAGGAGTTTAATGGCTCTGAAGGCCGGGAAATAGGCTGTGGGGCGATGTCTGGGAGAAGAGCAGACAGAGGGTTAGCAAGGGCTGCAGAATCAGGAATCCACTGGGGCAGTAACCAGCTGCCCCTAGATGTTTATGTAGCAGTTTCTTCATTTTGGCAAGAGGGGTGGACAAAGTGGACTCAAGGCATTTGGGGTGAGCCGTTGAATGCCTTGACATGGCTCCTGTCCCGAGTAGGTCCCAGTCATCTGCACCCACTGAGGTTTAGATCTGGAGGCTTTATGGCCTCAAGCAGCTCGTGTCTTCATGAGAGTGAGGGGTCTGTAAGGGCTCCCTGTTTACAGAGTAGAAAGTCATCCACATACTGAACAGGACGGCCCAGGGCCTCTCAGCCACATTCAGACCCTCACCTTACCAGCGTCTTGCCTGACTCCCGCAGCCCCCACACCTCCCAGGGTTGAGGGGCCTGGATGGTGCCCCGCTGGTGGAGTCCGTGTGCTGGGATGAGGGATCAAGGAGGGTGTCTGCAGCAGTGAAAGTGGGTGGGCTCTAGATAGCCCCCTCAGACCTAGACCTTAACCTCCACCCACCTCCTGAGGTCACCCCGGTGACCTGGGCTAGTCACTTACCTGGTGGCCTGGGCTTCCTCGTCAGAGAACCGGGCACAGTCATAGGGCTTCCCTAGAACCTGGGGAGCTCTGGTCTTGTGGTCTGTGTGGGCAGGGTGGGCTGAGTGCATGGGTGACTGCGAGGCAGGGCCCAGCGCTGGATCTGGTACCCAGGAGTTGGGTGAGCCATCCACACAGATCTGCAGCAGAGGTTACAGTAGGTGAGCTGCAGCAAGTCCTGGACGATGAACTCAAGCAGGAGAGGAGGCAAAGGCTCCAGTACATGAGAACAGGGGCAAGGAGCACTTACTCTGCCAGCAGCACTGTGGCAGTGTATGTTGGCACAGGGCCCAGAGAGCCCCCACTCCTGGCAGGTGCACTGATAGACCAGCCTGGCAAGGCAGGGGGATGGGGATGAATGTCTCACTCTGAGGCCAGGTGGCCACCTGGGCATAGCCCAGGGCCACAGCATCTTTCCTGTTCCAAGTCCTGGAGGCCTGGCCCAGCTCCAGGGAAGCATCATAGTTCTACCCTGCTCTGGGATCCCAGACCACTGGAGCATTTCCTAGCCAGGCTCCCTGGGGCTACCCCCTACTCACCCTCAGAGCCCCTCCCAAACACCCAGTCCCTTACCCAGGAGGCAGGATGAAGGGATCCCCACACTTTCCTGTGGCCTCCTGCCCACCCTGCTGGCAGGCCCTGAGCCTGCCTCATCCAGCCCTGCAGCTGCCAGTGGTTCCAGGCTTGGGTCCCCAGAGCAGGGTCAGAGCATGGACTGAAGGCTGGTCAGGACCCCCCTGGTCAGGACCCGCCTGGACAGCCTGTCACTCCCCTCTTACCCTTGTAGGTGCCGGTTTGGTGCTCCTCTCAGCTGCCAACCATGGCCTGGGGACTACCCAGCACTGCCAGCCTGGCACGCTTCTGCCGGAAGCTGAACCGGCTGAAGACGCTGGAGGAGCCCACTACGAAGAGACCGCGGCAGCGCCACCTGACCATGCTGGACCTGACCCTGCTGGGTGTGCGTGGCATGGTGGGCTCAGGCCTCTATGTGTTCACAGGCATTGTGGCCAAGGGGATGGCCGGCCCCGCAGTGGTTGTGTCTTTCAGCATGGCTGCCGTGGTCTCCCTGCTGGCAGCTCTAAGCTACGCGGAGTTAGGGGCATGTGTGCCCCTCACAGGCTCTGCCTACCTGTTCACCTACGTGTCCATGGGTGAGCTGTGGGCCTTCCTCGTTGGTTGGAACATAGTCTTCAGGTACCTCATTGGTGGTGCCGCTGTGGCCCGTGCCTGGAGTGGCTATCTGGATGCCATCTTTAGCCACAGCATTCGCAGCTTCACCGAGGCCCATGTGGGCATCTGGCAGGTGCCCTTCCTGGCCCGGTACCCTGACTTCTTGGCTGCTGGCATCCCACTTTTGGCCTCCGCTTTTGTCTCCTCTGGAACTCGCATCTCTCCCTGCCTTGACCACACCCTGTCTGCCATCAACCTGGTCATCATCCTCTTCATCATCATCCTGGGGTTTGTCCTGGCCAGCCCGCACAACTGGAGCACTGAGGAGGGCGGCTTTGCACCCTTCGGCTTTCCTGGCATCATGACTGGTGCCGCCATCTGCTTCTATGCCTTCGTGGGCTTTGATGTCATCGCTGCCTCCAACGAGGAGGCCTGGAACCCAAAGCGAGCGGTACCTGTGGCCATCGCCATCTCACTTGGCCTGGTGGCTGGTGCCTACATCCTCGTCTCCACTGTGCTCACCCTCATGGTGCCCTGGCATCGCCTGGACCCTTACTGGGCTCTCGCTGATGTCTTCTACCAGCGGGGCTATAGCTGGGCGGGTGTCATTGTGGCAGGTGGTGCAATCTGCGGTAAGGGGCCATTCCGGGCAAGGTGGGAGGGGATGGGATGGTGGGGCCCTTTCTTAAGCCTCCAGGGAGCACATCTCTATGTGCTGGTAGCTGCATCATGAGCCCACTGGGTCTATGACCTAAACTGGGGTGTCCCATTCCTGGGTGGTGAGGGGAAACAATCCAGCACCCACATACACTCAGGCTCACTCTCAGAGCCCAGACAAACTCACGCTTGTGTTTCCAAGAGGCCACCCATGCCCTGGCCCCCAGCAGCAGCCCCTGGGAGCCTGTGCACCAGGCTGACCTCTCTCCCCCCGCCTCTGCCACAGCCATGACCACTGCTCTACTCAGCTACCTCTTTGACCTGCAAATGATCGCCCATGCCGTGGCTGCCGACGGGCTCTTCTTCCAGGTGTTTGCCCAAGTGCATCCCCGGACCAAGATGCCCGTGGTGGGCATCCTGCTGTTTGGGGTCCTCATGGCCTTCCTGGCACTGCTGCTGGATCTTGATGCACTGATCCAGTTCCTGTCCATCTGCCCACTGCTGGACTACACATTCGTGGCCACCAGCATTATCGTGCTACGCTTCCAAAAGCCCCATTCATCCAGCTCCTCCGCCTCAGGCAGCCCTGAGGGCACTGAGCCCGGGCAGCTGCGACCAGTCCTGAGGCCCTACCTCCGCTTCCTGGGTGGGTGCAGACCTGGAGACGCTGTGGCTTGGGCCCTCGGTGTCCTGGTGGCCTCGGCCATCACCCTGGACTGTGTGCTGGTCTTTGGGGACTCGGCCCTGCACCTCCCGCCCTGGGGCTACACCCTGCTGCTCCTGCTCAGCTCTACCACGTTTCTGCTCAGTCTCCTCGTCCTGGGGGCCCACCAGCAGCAGCGCCGGCAGGACACCTTTCAGGTACTTCCTCCAGCCAGCGCCCACCGCGCTCAGCCCAGCCAGCTCCCTTTGCCCCATCCTCCTCTGCCATGGCAGGATGCACCAGGGATGCAGGGCGGGGGAGGCCAGTACCCCACACCCCTCTCTCTGCATGGCGGGTTGGCCCTTGTCTCCGGAATCTCCAGAGGCAGAGAAAGGCTCTGTGGACTCCCGAGAAATCAGGCCCTGGGCCAGCAGCCCTTCCCTGCAGCCCAGCCCAGCCCTTGTCCCCTCAGGTTCCCATGGTGCCCCTGACTCCCGCCCTGAGCATCCTCCTCAACATCTTCCTCATGCTGCACCTGAGCTATGTGACCTGGCTGAGCTTCTCCATCTGGCTGCTGATTGGTGAGTGGGGGCCTGGCTGGGACCCCAGGGGGCTGCAGGGGGAGGGCAAGCAGGGAAGCAGGGCTGGGACCTGACCCTCAGGCTTGTGCCACCCTTGTAGGACTCACGGTATATTTTGGCTACGGCATCTGGCACAGCAAGGAGAACTCCAGGAGCAGCTAAAGGTTGACTGCCACACACAGCAGCCTGGAGGAGACGGTGCCCGCCCTGCAGCCCCCCAGCCAGGCACCAGCCCAGGAGCCCAGACATACGGAGCAGCCCTCTAGTCCATGAGGACCGCTGGGGTCTGCCTGCCCTCCCCCACCTCCTCGGGAGGCCAGAGGGGCTGGCAGCGCCTTTATCTGGGGCAGCTCAGGTTTGCAGACCTACCCAAGCCGGGGGGTCCTCAGGACCTCAGGACCTTAGCCCAGGTGCCGAGCTTCGAGTCTTTGGGAGTGGGCCGTGGCCAGTGCTGGTGTGGTGGACTCTGCCCAGTGCCTTCCAGTTTATGACCAACTCCAGCTACCTGGGCAAATTGGAGTAGGGCTGGCAGGGAAGAGGTCCGAGCCCCAGGGACCCACAATAGTAACTGCTCGACCAGCCATGTGGCCTGCTGCCATGTCCACTGTGGTGTTCTTTGTGGCACTGAGCCCTCACCTACCCCTGGGATCTAGATGATTGTCCCCAATCCACAGCAAGGGAGTTGAGGTTCCATTAGGGGGAGGTGCCAGTGCTGGGACAGCCCTGAGTCAGGGACATGGCCAGGCCTGGGTCCAGGGGTCCTGCCCTTGGGGCACTGCCCTCTGCCCAGCTCAGAGGGGAGCTACACACACCACCCACAGTGGGGTCCACGACAGGGTGGGGCTAGGCTCCCTCCCAGGCTCCCCTCATGTCCCCTGGGGGGCAGATCCAGCAAGTGGAGTCTGGCCCCGAAGGAGGCCGCCTAGAAAAGCAGTGCAGTTCCATGGTTCCCTCAGTTTCCCAGGGCCCCCAGAGAGCAGGGCATGTCCTGAGCCCTGCTCTGGATGGAGAGGCCCCCCTGCCAAGGCACATGCATCTCTCAGGCACAGGCCCATATGGCCCAAACTATCCCCTGGGCGTGCACCCACATGCAGACTGAGGCAGCAGCTGTTTCCCAGCCCAGGGCTGCCTGCAGCTTCCAGCAGCCTCTCTCCCTGCTGCCCCCTCAGGGCTTTGTGACAAAGGCTTGGGATGGGACACACATGGGCAGGTGGGTGCACAGGCACCTGGGCCTGCTCCAGGGACCTTCCAGCCCACCTGTGGTGTTGGGGGCCCTATCCTTGCAGGTCCTCAGACCCACCCTGCACCCCCTGTGGTCTCCCCAAGGCCATGCTCCATCTACCATAGACGCCTCTCCCTCCTGTTCCTGCCTGTGAGGACCACACAGGAAGCCGTTGGCTTTGGCAGCTTTACTCCTCCACTCTCTGCAGTCTCGACATCACTTTCTTTGGGCCCCAAGGACAACCAGGGACATGTGACCCCACTCCAAAAACTGGGTCTCAGGGCTGTGATCTCTCACCCCAGCCCTTCTGCACCCCCCTCCATGGACACTCTCTTGGGGGTGAGAGGCAGCAGGGACCCCAAGGATTTGCTGAGGCTCCAGATGCCAGATGATTCCAGAAGTTTCCCAGCCTGAGCCCCAGGCCTTCCCTCCCCATCCTGGCCCATGTCGCTCCACCAGCAAGCTGCCTGCATGGCCCTGCTCACCAGGGACCCATGAGGAGGCAGCCCCTTGTTTCCCTGGCATGGGTACCACAAATCCAGCCCCTCCCTGGGACCCAGAGAGGATTGGCTCCTGCAGCCCCGGCCCTCCCCTCCTACTGCGTGTCCAGGACATGGGGAAATTCTCTAGCAGACAAGACTCAGGCCCCCAGGGGGATTCCAGAGACTGAATTAGTTCAGCCTGCTGGGGGAGGGACAGTCTCTCTGGCAGCTGAAGGGTGGAATTCTGCCCCCACCCCCTGCCCTGGTCCTGCTAGGGCTTCAGCCATTAGTCCTCAAGGTTAGGCCCCCAGACTTCTCAGTCCTGTACCCCCAACCCTGAACCCCAACCAGCAGAGAAAGGCTACAGGCCTCAGGAATGGGCCAGGGAGTGCATGCCAGGGCCACCCTGGTGACAGTGTCCAGCTCCCAGCAGCAGCGGTGGGGGCAGGTGCTGGGTCCCCTCTAAGGCAACTGAGCACCCAGATGTGGGGTGGGGAAGCCATCTGTCTGCTCAGGGTTGACAGTCCCCTTTGGGGCCTTTGCCTGCAGATGAAGACAGAAGGTCAGGGCTCCAGCCACCATCCTCCGAAGTGTACCCCAGGGTCAGGCAGGCCCACAGCCCCCTCCTCATGCTTGGTCCTCCAGTAGAAATGGGCTTCTCCATCCACGTACAACAGCCACATGTCACAGAAGAAGGTGATCTGGGAGAGGTGGGGCAGACCCATGACCTGGTCCCAAACTGCAATGTTGTCACCTCCCCAGTCCTCACCCCAAGACTTGATGTCAGCTCAGGGGACTCGAGGGGGCACTTGGGGGGCACGTGCTTGCTGGCAGCCAGAGGGAGCCACAATGGCCAGACTCACCACACCCAGCTGAGCCGCTCCAGTGCCCAGAGTGAGGGTTGTGGGGATAAGCCCCAACTTCCCTACCTGAGAGAGACCTGGGCTGAGCCTCTCTGCCTGTGGCTGTCACCCCCTCCCGCCCCTCACCCCTGCCCACCTCCACATGCCCTGGCCTGACCCCTACCTGCCCAGTGACGAGGTTGTGGAAGCGGATCCCGTAGAGCTGTGCAGGCTCCAGACCTCCACGCCTGAGGCCTCCCCCCAGTGAGCAGCTGTCCTGGGGCAGGAGAGAGTCCAGTGGCTGCTCTGCCCACTCCTGGGTGGCCTGGCCCTCACAGGCCTCATCTTACACATCCACTGACTCCATCCACCCCAGCCTGAGTCCTGGGTCTCAGCCCTGTGTCACTGCTGAGGACACAGGCGACAAGCAAGCTGAGACCTGCCTCTCAGAAGCTCCCTGCCTGCTGAGGGGACAGGGACAGAAGGGTCCCTAAACAGACACTGGCAGTAGGGGTGGGGGAGGTGGGGCAGGCCCAGGGCTGTGGGGTCCAGAGAGGGGCACTCACTATCCCCTGGTAACCAGGGAAGACTTCCTGCCTGGAGCCCCTAAGTCTGGATTCCCAGGGCTCAGGAAGGAGCTCTAGGCAGAGACGGAGGGTGGGGAGAGTGCAGAGGGGAGGGGAGCAGGCCGTGGGTGGGTCCAGCCCCACTTGGTTGCAAAGAGCTGGGGGGCCAGCAAAGCGAGGCCAGGAGGGCCCAACGTGCAGCGTCACGGATGTCACCTCCAGGCCTGGTGGCTGTGTTCATGTCTGTGTGAGGGTGACGAGGTGACATGATGGGGCAGAAGGATGGGACAGGTGTGCTTAGGAGACTCAAAGACAGGACAATACATGCATCACAAGATCCCTGAGTCCATCCTGGATCAGAAAATAAAAAGATTTAGGACAATTACTGACACAGCTGGGGAAATTTAAACATTAGATTTATCTGCCAATGTTAGTTTTCTTGAGTGTGACAAGAGGACAGTCGTCACCTGGGGAAGGTCCTCATTCTCAGGACAGCGTTGAGAGGGGTGAGTGTCCAGATATCTGCCACCTACTTTCGAACGGTTTCCTGTGAAACCCATCTAAATATATCCATTTCTCTCTAGAGAGGGAGAGAAAGTCAATGGGGCAAAAATGGTGAAAAAAAAATAAAACCAAACCTAGTGAACCTAAATGAAGGCAATATCGGTTTTCACTGTACTAATCTTGGAAGTTTTCCTTAGATTTCTGTAATCTTTTAGATAGAACCTTAAGGGAAAAGTAAAAAGAAAGCCCCTTTGCCATGGAGGGAGGTGCTGGAGGCTGGGTGGAGTGGAGGAAGGGCTGGGGTGAGGGGTCCCAGCTGCAGCAGGGTGTGGGGACAGATGAGGTAGAGGCCAAAGGGCTCAGGAAGGAGGCTGGATGGGGCCTGTGCTGGGGGACCTGGAGCTGAGAGACCCCCTCCTGCCCTGGGACCCTCTCACACACAGCAGAGTGTCCAGAGGGATCGGCCAGGCTGTGGTGTGTCCTGGCCACTGCAGGAGGACAGGTGGGGGAGGACCTGGCTGAGGAGCAGCGGGTGGGCAGTGGGGCCGCACCTGAAGTTGGAGCTCCTCTCCTGTAGCTGGAAGGAGTCATGGGGCTGGCAGTCGTAGCCGCCGGCATCCAGTCACAATCCCAGCAGACATGGATGCCACAGCACCGCCCTGCACACAGCACATCACTGCTCCACCAGCACAAGGGCCTGGGATCCTTTCCCCAAGGCCTCCCACAACCCTGCCCCCACAGATCCACCAGCAATGCCAGGTCCTCAAAGACCCCTCCAGTTGCACCCATGAGGTCCCCAGTGTGGAACACAGGGCAGTAGGGGCTGAAGCATGGATCCTAGCAGCAGTGCTTGAAATAGATGGTGTCCCATGTCTGCAAGGCAATGGACCTGAGAGGAGGTGGGGTTGGGAGTTGGGCCAAGAGGGGACAAGGAGGATATGGGACCAGCCAGGACCCACCATGCTTACTTGGAGATGTTGAACTTGCTGAAGGAGACAGTGATTTTGACAAACAGTGCGAAGTTCTCAGCCTGGACCAGCAGGGGCTTCCTACAGGTAGGGGGAGGTAAGGGGCAGGCTCTGCTGGTCCTGGGACCTGCCCTGGGTGTCGGGGACATTTACACAGGTTAGGTCACTCTCCATGGGGCATCAGGCCTGCATCTCACAGATACTGTGGATCCCATTTAACACTACACATTGGCCCCTTTTGATGCCTTGAAAACACAAGACAAACTCCAGGCCTCCAATCCGCACAGGGCCTGGGAAAGGAGTGGGCAGGGGGCTGCTGGCAGAAAGAAGAGATGGAAAGACACCTGCATTTGGGAGCCACACAGGGTCCCAACCCAGACCCTTGAACCCCACTCCAATGGAGGTGCTGGAAGACAGGGCCCACAGTTACGGTGGCTGTGCGTCCCCAACTCCCATTCAGGACAGTCCTCAACAGCCCAGCAGGTCCCCAGTGGGATGGAGGGAGCTGAGGTGGTGAGAGAGCAGAGCTGTCCAGGCCCAGGAGGTGTCTCCCCTGCGTGACCCAGCCTTGCAGTCCC